GCGTTAATTAATAATATAATATAATATAATATAATATAAACTAATTGAATAACTAAGTGAACTATTTAAAAGTCTTATTTATTGATTTATTTAATAGTTTATGCATAATTCAGTATAGTCTATGTCTCTTGTGTTTTTGAAAATGGCACATTTTGCTTTACTCTTGCTGTGGGTGCTGTTATGTAAGATTGCATCATTTAGATGCTGTATGTTTGCAGAGAGGAATGAATGGCTGTGTAGGATGGCTTGTTCAGAAGACTCTTATATGGAGATGTCTGGGCGTGCTTTATGATAATTACAACTAACTGCATGAACATGCTCTGTCATTGAAAATGATTCAGATTCATCAACATTAGAATGAAGATAAGAAGAAAACTGTGCATATGCACCTGAGAAGCTTTTGTGTGTGTGTGTGTGTGTGTGTGAGTGTGAGTGTGTGTGTGTGTGTGTGTGTGTGTGTGAGTGTGTGTGTGAGCGTGTGTGTGAGTGTGTGTGTGTGTGTGTGTGTGTGTGTGAGAGTCTGTCTCAGACATCCTGCATTATTTGAGTTTCTGTAAAGTGATGTTTAATTCTCCGCTACTTTAGACAATCACTCTTTTCCTTTGTGGTTTAAACAGAGCGAGAAAACAACAAAAGTGAAGCAAATAACCTTCTTGTAAAACCGCAGCATTCCATTTTTCAGTGGAGAGATAAGAGTGACATTCGTAAAGCGTGATAAGAAAGAGAATTGACCGACATTCCCTCAATGCTTTTTTACTGCGTTTGTAAGGCAGCGGTGTATTGATATTCCTCAAACATTCTGCTTAGGACCTTACATATGATGCTGTTTGGAAAATGAATGGACGGACTCTGCTTAGGATTTGTTCGAAACCACTAACCCCTAAGTAGTAAACGTCTGCAATTAATTCAGCCAAAACCACTTTCAAATGATGTACTTTGAAACTTCTTAAGCAATCGTTAAAGATTCAAGTCTGAAAATCTCCCATTGATTTATATTGGCAAAATATTGAGCTTTCGAAATGTGACAGATGTGTATTTTGAACTATTAGTGGTCTTCTCTTCCTTGCATATGCTTAACTGTTTATCGCTGATTCTTGTGTGCATTCAATTGGAAACAAGATGTTTGTTGAGTGGCATAACAACAGCATTTCATGAAGTATATCGTGTTTCGCTTTGTCTGACCTTTATGTGTGAGAGAGTCTGTGCGTGTGTGTAAGGATAGATCCTCCTCGCAGCTCAGCTCTCATATCCTTGCGTGTTGCTGAGCGTTTATCTGTAATATGTTTTGGCGTTGCCAGGTTGTCTGGACATGGGAGCCGTAATGGAATCAAAGGGAGATTTATGGCAGGCATCCTGACAGTCAGAGAGAGCAGGGCCAAAGCCAAATGAAATTAATGAAATTTGCAAGCAGATTGCTAGAGGAGGGGGACTGATGCAGCTCTCGTCCTTTAACAAACACTGTTTGGTGCATGTCTGCTTTGAATCTGTATCTTTTACCTTAAAGCATTCATTCCAGCATCTGTTAAGACGCCCAATTTGACACTAATGATAGCAGTGCATACCAGGATTGAGTTAATTTCATTATTGCCTTCAAAATGACAAAACAAACAAAAATGAGTCGTTTACACAGTATGTGTTTATACAGTATATATGTAGGTATGTAGATATGTTTCTTTAAAAAAATCTATTTCTATTTGCCAACGGAG